AGAAATCTATTTTTTTCAAGAATTTAATTATTCTTCTAAAACTTACACAGACTTAAAGGAACTAATGTGATGCTTTATTGTTTTACGCAAAAACAACAATGAAATTTGTGCTCCATAGCTAAAAAGAAAATACTTTTTTTTGGTTGAAAAAAATTACTCTTTCTGCAACATGAAAATAAGTTCTCGTTTAAAATATTTTTTCTACATCATGAAAGGAAAATACTCATTTGTTGAAATGAAAAAAAAAAAACTTAGTTGAAATGAAAGAAAATACTTTTTCTACGTAATGAAAGGAAAATACTCATTTTGTTGAAATGATAAAAAATATTTTTTCTACATCATGAAAATAAAATACTCTTTTTGTTGAAATGAAGGAAAAATACTTTTTACTTCATCATTTTTTGTTGAAATGAAAAAAATATTTTTTCTACAACATGAAAAGAAAGTAATTTTTTGGTTAAAATAAAAAGGATACTTTTTTTATATCATGAAAAGGAAATACTCATTTGTTGAAATGAAAAAAAAAATCTATCTATAATATAAAAAAGAANTATGACTTGCCGGGTTAGTTGGTTCGGGTCCGGAAGGAATTCGGAGTGAAATGAGACAGTTAGTCTCATAATTAAAATTTTAAGTTAGAAAAGTTGACCGGATGTGGATTTATGTGTAAATGACCTCGGATTTGAATTATGATAATTCCAATAGCTCCGTATGGTGAGTTTGGACTTAGGAGCGTGTCCGGAAAATATTTTGGAGGTCTGTAGTGAAATTTAGCTTGAAATGCCGAACGTTGAATTTTTAGGAAGTTTGATCGGGGGTTGACTATTTGATATCGGGGTCGGAATTCGATTCTAAAAATTTGAATACCTGTGTTATGTCATTTATAACTTGTGAGCAAAATTTGAGGTCAATCGGATGTGATTTGATAGGTTCCAGAGTCGTTTGTAAAAATTAGAAGTTTTAAAGTTCATTAGGCTTGAATTGGGTGTAATTCAAGGTTTTAGTATTATTTGAGGTGATTTAAGGGTTCGACTAAGTTCTTATGACATTTTAGGACTTGTTGGTATATTTGGTTGAGGTCCCTGATCTAGTTCAAACCTACACAACAATTGAGTAGCGAGGCGGTCGATGCAATAATAAACCCAACAACGGTCGGGATCAAATCCACAGAGAGTTAGAATATGGGATTAGGTGTATATCTAAGTTAATTGCAAGTTTTAGCTTTAATTGCACTTCCACATACTTGATTGGTATTTCTATTTCTAACTTTACTCTAAAGATTGCAATAATTGAAACTACGGACAATATTTTTGTTGTTGTTTTTCAAATGTTTAAAGAGACTAGAGTAGTGACTTCTACCTAGGTGGATATCTAACGGGTAGAAAAATCTAGGGCAAGCTTAATTAGTTGGGATTATAATATAGCTATCACACCCGGGTACTCACTCTATACCTCTCGGTAGTTTGAGTGATTTTTTCCAATTTGGCTTTCTCAAGTCTAAATGGGTATTCATGCAAATCAAGTGATATTAGCTCAAGTTGGGTATTACTATCTCTAGGTTTAACCCTTTAATTATGGCTATCAATTTCTTGAGTTCACCCCAATTCCTTGTTAGCCTAGTTTTCCTAGACTTAGTCCCTCTTTCTCAAGTAGAGACTAAGTTATAAAGACATGAATCAATGTTTGCATCCATTAATTCTTGAGTTATAGCAAGAACTAGGCTAAATATCACTAACCCATTCACATTCAAGCCCTAAAATCAAATACCCATTAAATACCCACACTAGGGTTGGGTCACAACCCTAGCTATGAGTTTAGTTACTCATGGAAATAACAAAAATTAAAGATGAAATGAAGATAAAATCCATAATATTATTTTATGGAATGAAAATCTAATGTTAAAAAGTGAATCTAGTACAACTCCGAAAAATAGAAAAGTCAGCCGTATACAAAATATAACATAACCCGACATACCCTAAAAATGACAAAAAGTTCTATTTATACTGAGCTGAAAATATCGGACAAAAATACCCATGCGGAGGTTATGCGGCCGTGTAATTCTAAGTGCGGCCGCACTCTTGCTTTCGCAGCCGCATACTTCTGGTGCGGTCCGCACTTCTCTCTTTTTCTCAAGTTGTCATCTCTCTGAATCTCAGTCATCGCGGTCCGCGTAATTTCAATCGCGGCTGCACAGGGAGTTTTGCGGTCGCATATTTCTGGTGCGGTCCGCGCTCATCATTTAGCCCAAAAATCACTCCCTGGATCTCCCTCTCGCGGACCACATAATTTTGATCGCGGCCGCACAATATTTGTACGGTCCACGCTTCAGACCTCTTTGCACAGCCTTGGTTTTTGTTCAACTTTTGACTCATTTGTGAGTTGATTTTGATTCCTTTGGCTCATTTTGAACAATTCCTGCAAGCAAGCATATTTCATTAGTTTTCAGGAATACCTTCAAGTATTTTTGGCCTAAAATACAAGTAAAAGAGAGCAAATAATAGGTTAAAATCCCCACTTATCAACTCCCCCATACTTAAGCTTTTGCTTGTCCTCAAGAAAATAAGGTAATTCCCACCTCCACTAGAAAAAAAGAGATTTCAGCTGGCCTAAGGTGAACCATTCATGCATTAATTGGGACTAACAATTACCCTCAACACAAATAAATTATCAACAACACCATGTTTTTGACCGTTTGAGTACCATAGTTCTACCGTGACACTAGAGCATCAAGAGTTAACTTAATTCACCAAGGAAGCTCGCTCTATCACGTAGGTCATTGTGGAACCCAAACTCCTCCTCCTCTACTCTCCATGAGCAAATCTCACTTTAGAATGTAACACTCCAAACAAGGATTGTGAAGAAGTGCGCTCATCTCTCTCAAAAGAATGTCACAAGTCCTGCTCTAAGTACCATAAGCTTGCCCCTTATGTAAATCATCACTAATGTAAGCTCACTCAACTTGTAATCATATAGGGCTTTTGCGGGAACGTAATGAAGGCTTTTGGATCAAGGTAGGACTTATCGGCATATGATGGTTTCATCTTTCCTTAAGCACTCTATTTCCTCTTTTTGGCTCATAGTTTCTTGAATTTTTGGAGTCATTTTCTTCTTCCTTAGGGGAACTAGAGAGACGTAATGTCACTCTTTCTTGCAGACAATCATTTTTTTCTCCTTTTCTAAGCACTCCATACTTTTCATCTTTGCTTTCTTTGAATCCCTTCAACTTTTAACTTTATTCACTTTCTTTTTGGCTTTTCTTCTTTTTCCATGTTACTCTTTTTTGTTCTTTGTACCTTTTATCACTTTCACATTCCTCGTCTCTCCCCCAAACTTATTCTTTTGCCAATTGTATCAAGAATGCTAAGGAAAGAACGGGTGCCAAGAGATGTCATTATAAAACGGATAAAGGCTTGTAACATGGCTATTGAATGAAAAAGGGCTTCGGCTCAAATGGATTGACTAGAGATATCACATTGGTAGGCTACAGAAGCTTTCAAGTTTCAAATTGGATCAAGGAGAGACTACAATCATTTCTCAAGTCGAGCTACACTTAGAATTTCGCCTAGACAAACATTCAGGGCAAGTTCAAGACTTATTGGCACGGAACTTGGACTTGCAATTCAATACCTCACCCCTCAAGCTGCTGAATTGTTAAAGAGAATAGAGTTGAGGTCCCACAACAACCCTAGCTAAGATTGAAAATCACAAATGGCTCAAAGAAATCACTCGATGATTGTNAGAG